AGTCGTAACTGCATCGTCGCTACGTTGTGATCTGTAAAATACAAATGTACAAATCAAATTATAGCATCGCTCAAGATAATAGATCGATATTCACATACATATGTGCGCAATGATTATTTCAGGAAACAATAATTGCGCGCGTCAAAACCTTTATTCTTTCAAGTGAATATATTTATTAAAATACATATTTGCATATAGTTTGTACGAAAAACCTTAGTTGTTGTTAGATGCAAGCTTCTTTTAACACTTATAAATAGAAATCTTTCTTTCTATAATTTTCATATAAATCATTCGTTCCAGGAAATATAATTGAAAATAAACGATTAAGCCCGCAAAAAATATTATAAATAGTATAAATAATTATTATATGAATTATTAGATGTATAACCCAGTGAACACAATGCAACATGTAACGTACAGGTTAGTTGTAATTTCCTACTTAACAATATAAATGCAATATAACACACGTGCATTTATATTGTTGAGTAGGAAATTACAACTAACCTGTACGTTACATGTTGCATTGTGTTCACTGGGAAATAATATAAAAGTAAAAATGTAATTCAACAAATCGTGTTATATCATTCGTACATAAATAACAATAATTTATTTACCGTCCGGTCGTTCCGCCGTTGCCCGATGCCTCCCAGACCTCGTTCTCCTCTCGGCTTATTCCTTCGTCGCTGCATGCATCTTCGTGGCACAAGACGCTCACTCACACAACACTGGCAGAAAAAAAACTGTTAATTACGAAGGATGCTCTCCCGCGCGTAATTCACTCGCGTCGCGTGAAACCGAAATCCACTATGTGCAGTGACGCGATAGAACGCGATACTTTGACGCCGTTTACGAAACAACAGGCGTCGCCAAGCTCGTTAATCGCGATAGTATGAATTTACATACGTACGTATCGAGACGATCACTCGTCGATTCCAACACTCCGCGGATACTCGTCCGCGCGCAAAACTTCTTCTCGGCAGGCAAAAAGACATGAGAAACGCGGAGCAGGCGCGACACGATCTCGCGCTAACATAACGCGACCACAGAGTATATACCTACACGAAAAAATTTAGGCAGAGCGCGGGGAGCGGGGCGAGGAGCGAGAACGCCGAGAACGTACCTTTCAGAAAAGCCAAGCGAAATAATCGAAAATAATAACCGACCGTCTATCAAAAAATATAGCACTCCGAACCATTTATTTATTTATACGCGAGGTTCATTTTAGACGAACAAAAAGAAGCGATTGCGACTTGCACTTGCGTATCGTCGAACCAGAATACCAGAATTCCGCCATTTGCAGTAATCGAGCAGGTAGATTGTAATGATTGCAGTATATTGTCACCGCCTTCGAAGCGTCGCAACTGTCACAAGACGCGTTACTTAATCGCGATCGTGCGGACCATCAGGGTGCTCGAATCGCCCGTCGCTCGATCGACACTCCCGAGCCTCGTTCGCACGCGAGATTCATATCTGGTGGATAAAAAGACGCGAGAAGCACGTAACAGTCGCAATTTGTCGCGTTGGACCCGCGCCCGCGCCGCCCGCGCGCTACGCGATCGGAGTGAATATATAACATATAGCCGTTAAAAATCGGAAGGAGAGGGGAGGGGAGGTGCGTTCGTGAAACGTTCACGCCGCGAGCGGCGCCGCGCGCCCGCCGGCTTCTCATTGAATACGAGCCGGTATTACGCGAAAACGAGTAAACTCGCAAAATTTCTCCAAAAATGAATTAGGGCCTTGGCACATAGAAAAACTTAAGCAGTAGAAATCAACGGTATATATGGATTCGCTACCGCTTTTAGGGCCTCCAAAAGGGCTTTATAAGTTCTTTACTGTGATTGGCTGATTTTGCTTACTGCTCGAATTTTACTGCTTAAGTTTTTCTATGTGCCACGGCCTTTATATATGCAACTGGATCGAAATAACGCTTTAGGCCGGTTCTACAGTCAGTCATATATGTCGGAGTCGAATGTAGAAACACAGCCGATGGTCCAATGAAAGTCGAGTTTCTTTTTCGAATTTTCCTGGTCATTGGACCATTGGCAGCGTTCCGATATCTGACTCCGACATACGACTGATTGTCGAACCGGCCTAAATGTATCCAAGACGGATTAACTCATTTTTGCATTAACGTTGAAAACACTTGGCGTATGAATTTCGCATTACAATCGCAAGAGAAAAGCATATCGGCGCGCTGAAATTACCGCGAATCACATGTAAACGCTTTTTTGCTCGTCGCGCACTCATCGCCGTACCGAAAAAGTTTTTATTTACCTATTATTTCGTAGGGAGAAATCGAACGGGAGTTAAGGCTCCGTTTTTATGTCGCCGAGATTGTTTACGATTTTGGGCTCGGCTTTCCTGGAAATCGCGAGACGCCCGACGCGGCCGGCGTACTTCCCCCACTCCCCCACTCTTTCCAAATTTTTCCTATTAATTGCCTAGTCGCGCTCGCGGACATAACAGTATTAGTGCGAAACTGCGAATTCGAAACTGTGGTTAGTCCGGGTTAGCCCGCTCCGCGTTTCTCGCGTTTTCTAACCTGTCGGTCGTGAATCTTTTGGCCGTTATCGCGCTCCAAAAGGAGCCATTGTAATTAAAGAAGAAAGATCGTGAATCTTTGTCCGCGAACGAGTGTCGGAATTGAGCCACGGTCGATCGTCTTGTTGCGTATGTATTTATTAATCCATATCGCGTCTCTCGATGTTCGCAAGTGGCGTCGAATTAATTGATTTATCGCCGATTCAAGAAGTTATAGTCTCACAACGCAAGCGAATTGGCGAATCCGCGTCTCTTTGCTCGCCGAGAGTGAGAATAATCTCGCCGCGCCTGAGTAACGTATCTCCCGTCATTAAATTTCCGTTTCACACGCGAATGAGTTGTTTATGTCGCGTTTTCGTGAGACAATCAGTCGCGTCGCGTCGCCGTGGCATCAGTGTGAAGTTGCACCGGAATTGAATTTTTCGGTTACGCCTCGGGTGAGAAACGGATCGCGCTCCGGAGCCGAGCGGGCGTCGCGACGCATTTAATTAGTAAGTAGAACCGTAATTATCCGCGTGACTTGATACTCGTCATTCGTAAGGCGTACTTGTCCGTCGAGTGATCAGTCGAGAGGTGATCATGCGTATTTCGCGAGATTCATTCGGTCAATACAAGGTGGCCGTCACCCGGCGCCGAAAACGTTCGTTAGGAAACGCGGTGGCCATATTTGCAGTATTTCGTTCCGCGGACGTGTATTCTTCGTGTATCAATCTTGCTTCGTGTACTTATTCGTTCTTGTTACAATACGAAATCATTTTCGCGTGTATCATTTTCATTCCAAGTGCGGGAAGTGCGTGGAAAGGTTGGAGCATAGTCGCGAAATGTTGAAATATTGCGAAAAAAAAACAAAGCAACGAAATATCATCGTTAAATATTGCGTTAAATATTGATCAGTGCGTGCGCGATCAAAGTAGTCATATTTTTGCGAGTTTCTAGTGCGTGTGTCATAAAGGATCGCAATGATCGCAGTACCAACGGACTGAAAAGAGAGGAGGAGGAGGTGGCCCGGAGAGGCATCAGGCAACGGCGGAGCAACCGTGGGGTAAGAAACTTATATGACTTTATTTAATTTATTATTTTACTCCTGACATTATTTTATACGTGTTTATTATTAATCTCAGCGATGAAGTATTATTTTCTTACATAATATAATGCTGTATAATGCATATAAAATATTTTAGATTATTTTCGAATATTATCTACAAATACATTTAAAAGATTATATAAGTAAAATTCAATATTTGTGCACATCTGTATTTTCAACATTTTTAAGATCGATAATTATTTAGATTATTACATAATTAGATTGTTTCTGAATTTTTTTAAACAAAGAAAATTCTTTTAAGAATTATGTAATTATTTTGCTAAACATCTGTTTAAAGAAACCAAAAATAAAAAAATTTGAGGTAATAATTATTTTTTAAATATTAATTATTCTGAAGCACAGTTGTAATTTGAATACGCTCTCTTTTACAGATATGACAACTCCGCTGCGCATCGTACCGGTGAGTTTGAAATAATTTTTTTATTTTATTCCCGAAGTATAAAAAATGGAAATTAATAAGAACTATATTATATATATAAAATACTATATTAATATAGGGCGGCGGTGTAGTCTATTGGTAGAGCGCCAGACTCGTAATCTGAGGAACTAGCTGCGCCTCTCCGTGCAAGTTAGGCTCTTGTGCGAAGCAAACTGGGCTCCGTCTTTCGGAAAGAGACGTTAAGCCGTTGGTCCAAAAGGTTAAGTGAGAGGAGAAGGATAGTATTGGTGGTAAATTTCTTATCTTAGTTGCGTATCATAAGGATTATGTTTAACGCATGGGTCGACTCATTACATTTATTATCCAAACTTTAATTAAAGATTACTTCGGTTTTTTATTTTTAATCTTTCGTTCTTCGTGTGATAATATATATATATATATATATATATCCGCAGCATATATATATATATTATCACACGAATATATATATTTAATATAGTAAATTCGTAATTTATTGCATATCCCCGTAGGGTTCGCAATCTACCACCAATACTATTTTTCTTTTCTCACTTTAACCCTTTGGACCAACGGCTTCACGTCTCTTTCCGAAAGACGAAGCCCAGTTTTCTCCGCACAAGAGCCTATCTTGCACGGAGGGGCGCAGCTATCGGAAAAACATTCCATAGCTCTAGTGGACTCGAACCTGGTTCCTCTGCAGATTACGAATCTGGCGCTCTACCACTAGACCACACTGCCGCCTTCATACGTTTTATATTAATATGCATATTTATCTATTTTTTGTGAATAATTTATTATTAATTTAATTGGTTATACTATTTTTGCAAAAATAGATTAAATAATTGAAAGCGAGTTATTAATTTATTTTCTACGCATAAATCACAATAATACCAATTTTTAAGCTTTTAAAGGTTTATTATGCGTATCGTTTAACTAGAAACTAAACTTAATCAAGAACTAAGCTCCTAAGAGACGTTTAACGAAATATCCGGGGAAAGCGTAAATTCCACATGCTACTAAAAGCACAAATAGCGTACACGTAAAGCAGCACAGGATTCGCCATTTATAATAACGACAAACGACGAAACAGAATGCTCTCCATGGATTGTGGAACCAGGAGAAAGAGGTATCGGGTCGCCTGCAAACCACAATATATAACGCATATGTTCAATAATAATCAATAATTGGAAATATTAAATATAGATGAGGGAAGAGAATGCTTTTATTAAAACCGAACATTATTAGAGAAATAATATTTAACCGCATTTTTATTTACTATGTATTAATTTAATATTCAATTATGTATAATATATAAATAATTGTAGAAAAATAGCATGTTTTATTAGTGTAAGAGTAGTACGAATAACAAGATGAATAATATAAAATAGTCAACACTAGATCTCGAAATAATCTATAGATTGTTACAATTTTCTTACATCTTCCTGCTAATTTATTGGAATTAAGGAATAAGACCAATTGTGACATTAATCATTACTAGGCAGTTCAAAATTTATAATTCTAAATTGTGATTATTTTCATTTAAAAAGTAACTTGTTGTTTTTGCAAATTAATATGAGAAATAAACTGATAAAATCAGAATGAGAAGGGATTAACCTCGGAGACGGAAGATTTTGAGGTGGATCCCTTCCTCTTCCTGCCGGTTGATTATCCGCGTCTACCACTTTCAAAACGGACATTTCCAGTTCAATTTTACCCTACAGTGAAAGAGGATATAATTATTAGACAATGAAAAAAATTGTCTAATTTCATTTTTATCTTTCTTTACAGAATTATTCTCATATAATTATATATATTCGCTTTATTCAAAAAATTTCGACAAAATTCTTTATAATTTTGCGATATTTTACCGCTTGAATACATCTGCCGGCATCAATAGTACGTGCAAAAGGCCACCAAGCTCTAGTTCGAGAAACTTTGAATAAATTTATTGTGGGTAACTGCGGTTCGAGTAATTTCAGCGTACAGTTTTTGGAGTTTGCACTGCCTCGCGGCATTTTCGACAAATCTAATGTCAACTCTCCTGCAACACGTTAATTAATCATTAGAGGACGCGTAACTTTACAATATGTCACGAATTACGTTAATTAATTATGTGACCTTAGCGTAATTTAACTTTTTAGTTATATATTTTCTGTTTCTAGAAATGTAGTTTCTTCTCTGCAGTTGAGATTAAAATGAACTACAATTTCTAAAGTTTAACTGAATAGCAAATTAAATTTACATATATACAATAATACCCCAGTTAATTTAAAAATAACTAAAAAT